CACAGAATTTTACAGAGTATAATATTTCTGACAAATTCTGGAGAGATCTCAGAAACTCAAGCTGTACGGCACTTGACGATTTCCTATTTAACGTTATAGTTACTCTTTCGTCCAATGAAGTATTCATATTCTAATGCGAGGAATACCATGAAGGACGTCGTCAGTTGCGTACATTAAACTTTTTAGTTAAGAAATAATTAAGAGCAAATAAAATAATAATGATTAGTAAGTAATTCACAATCGTTAATTTTTTATTTTATGTAGCTAACTGTCGTTGTTCGTATTAATTTTTTAAACATTTTTAAACATTTTCCAAATGACTCTCATCTTCATTCACTGTTTCTTTTACTTAATTTATTCAATTTATTTATTGCAAATAAAATTAATGCTTTTTAAATGAAAGTTTATAAATTGTTGTTTGTTGGCTATAATAACTGTATAACATTATTATATATAATTATATGACTTGGATTAACTAAATAAAATTAAAAAGACGCTATTGGGTGAATTTTGAAACACTTAAAATGTTTCCCAAATTGGTGAAAATAACCATTCCTATATGACACAATAAGCATTATTAACCAACACTGGAACTTAATTCGCCGCCAGACCCGTTTTAGAATATGAAAAAACATTCAGTAAGGTAATTTCAACAAAAAGTAACCAAATCAATGCGTAATATGTTAAGAAAATTACGTAAACTCATTCAAATTAGCATCTCTTCCCACTAATATCAGTAGTTAAACAGAAGTCGCTTGTTCAGAGTTGATTACTTTAAAATATTTTAAGCCTAACATAAAAATCAATAACGAGACAAAACCCAGAAAATCATTGTTCATCAGTCTCATAATCACGGCCGTCAGCTGTCAATCAATTTTTTTCATCCAATCCCGTCAGAGCTCTTGCGTTTGTAATGATGCTGATGCCACTCCCATTATTTATTTTACAATCAAACTAAATAATATAAGCATCCTCACGTACCTTATACGAATACGTTTGTGTGTATTGGTTTCCATACGATCAGCTAATAATAGTATAAAATGTATACATTCATGTATGTATACGTGTATGTATATAAGTTAGTTGTATTATAATTAGCAATTTGATTTATATGATAAGAGTTGGTTTGGTTTTTGAACATTAACGCGGCGTTGCACGATCGATTGATTAATTTAAAAACACACACATACACATACATACATACACGTACACCGCTCACATTCACAGTGAATGATTGAGTAACTGAACAAGTAAATGGGTGCTTCAATGAAGTTTAAATGAAAATTAATTTAAAAGTTAGGAGGAAAAAAATGTCGAAACTACAAGTTAAACTAGGAATTTAATTACCAATATCTTTGTATCAAGGTTTGTATCTAGGTGCATATATATTTGATAATAATACACGTGTGTGTGTGTGTGTGTGTGTGCGTGTGTGTGTGTGTGTGTGTGCGCGCGTTTGTGTCAGTGTCACTGTACATATTATTGGATGTGTGAGTTTTTTGCAATTGTAATTGATATTAACATTGAAAAAAGTCATCATTGTTTATCCGGCATTCAAATGCATCCTGACTTGAAAGTTTAGTTGGTGTTGTGTGTATGTGAGTGTGCAACCAGCAGTAAACGTTTCTAGAAAAAATGGTGGATTTTTCCATGTGATTGTGTATGCATGTTTGCAGTGTAGTTGTGCATTGTAAGTAGTTTGTGGTGGCAGTGAAAGATGTTGTTGTTTTTATTATCTGTACAGGTCAAATAAAATTTTATTAGTCAGAAGGTTGAAAACATAGGAAATATGATTTGTTCAACCACATACACGTGACGTCATCTGCCTCACATGACGTCATCAACAACAGGACCAACAACAGCAACTACATCATAACCAGGAAGAAGAAGCATCATTGACGACGACGTCATCAGCAACGTCAACACGGACAACATCTTTGCAAATAATTTCTTGAACGAAATTAAAAGCATTTTTCATGCTAGTAGCATGTGAAAATCTGTAGCGCCAAGAATTTTGTTGCTGATCGTGTTGAGAAACATCAATAAAATCAACAACAAAAGACATCAACAACAAGAATATTGACATTAGTAGCAACAACTACATAACAACAACAACACAAACATTACGTCAACAACAACATTGGTTTAGCAACGTCAACAACACACCAAACAACATCAACGACACGCCTATAACAAGCCGGTCAGCCAACAAAAACTTGCTTTGCTGCACGATATAAACAATCGCTTCCTCTTGCGGGCCAACAACCCATCTTCAACTTCGCCAACATGTCAACAGATTCTAACTAAATAAAGAACCGAGAATAGTTTCGAAACATTCGAATATCAATTCTAAATTATTTAAAGACGACGCAACAAGCGCAACAGATATAAAAACAGTTAAAACAACAATCAAAACAAAAACACTTCCAGTACAACCAACATTTTTACAAGTTTAGAATTAAAAAAACACTCAAAAATGTTACAACTAAACGCGCAACTTTTGCATCAGCCACAGCTGCAACAATATCAACAGCCACAGGAACCACAGCATGGACAACAGAATGCGATATCCCACTCCATTGAAAATCTTCTGAAACCACCGACATCCAACTCAAGTAATATCATCAACACTTTTTCTTATTCATGAGTTTTTTTTATTTAAAAAATAATTTCAAGTTAGTTGAGAATTTGTAGTCGACATTACAATTTTTGTGGCTTCTTCGACCTTACATACATAGAAGAGGTTGGGTGATTAGAAGATCAGATTAAATTATTTGATTGGTCGGTTGATTAATTAGTTGAATAGTTGGCTGGTTAGTTGTCTGATAGATTTGATTTAATGAAGGATTTGATTTGACAGATTCTTGGTTTGCCTAATAAATGTCACTGCCTGTTGCGAAATAATTAACTATTGGGGTATCAGTAGATGGATTTCTTGTCACTCTTGCCAAAAATTTTAAAAGTGTTGAAAAATTTATAATGAAGACTTGCTGTCGTAGTTGTCACATGTTGAACAGTTTTTGTTGTGGTGAACGTTTACTCGATTGTCATCTTGCAATATCCATTTCAACTTGTTGCATACAACACTTTTGACGTCGTTACTGATCTGGTTGTTCATAATAATAATAATAGTTAATGTTTTAAGCAACAAATGAATGTATTAACACGTATTTACTGAAAAAATTCTAAAATCATGCCAAAGTAACAAATGATAATGAACAACAATTTCAGGAGCATGGAAACCGATGACGGGACCTTCTCCGAAAGATGACCACCACAAGACTGATGATAACGTCAACGTCAGTGTAATTAATGATAGCCAAATAATGGGAAACAATTACGAGAGCATGGACAAGAGGGAAATACTGTCCACAATTCGTAATATGGACCATTGCGATAGAAACGTCGTAAAATATGATGCAAAGACCGCTGATGTTAATGATGACTTCCTGTGTATAAAGTTCAAAATTGGAGCACGGACCAACGACTACGACAAAGGTGTCAAGAAGAAACGCATTTGCAAATCAGAAAGCGTTATTTCATACGGTTCAAAAAGCAAAATCATCAGTAGAGTAAGTAATAACACCAATAACATCAACAACAACAGTAACACCATCAACAACAACAGCAACAGCAACAACATAAGCAACAACAACAATTACACTAACATTAAAACAAATGGAAAAAGCTCCACAGAGGACACCAGAAACTTGGATGGAAGCCCAAATGATTTAAAAGTTTATGGTGAAAATGACAACAACGAAAATAATGACGTCAAAGATTATAACAATAATAATAACAATAATAATATCATGAATAATTATAATACTAACGACAAAGCTGTTAACGATAATAAACAAACTAAAGTTATTAAGAAAGTTTACAACACTAAAAAGCCATTCATCGACTTGTTTGAACTCAATGGCCACAATGACGATCAGAATTTTGATAGAGACAGCAGCCGGGAAGATAGCTATAGAAACCAGTCTCAAAATCTCTTCTTAAAATTTATTAAAAGTGACATTAAACTAGCCTCACATCACAGCAACAACGTTATCAGCAGCGACATCAGTAACAACAACATCAATTGTTTTGATGAAACCGCAAACAAATTTTTAAAAAATTCATCAAACGCTACTACACCATCCACTCCGTCCTCGCTTCCAGACATGATTCCAATATCTCCACACACATACGATTGTGGCGCTGATGTGAATACACTGAAAAAATTTAATAGTAGTAGAGATTGTTCAAGTGCTGGGGCTTTAAATTTTGGATCTAGTACACAAATTTGGTTGGCTAAACAGCAATTAAATACAATTGCGACAACAAATCAACACACCCCCGACAACCGCAACATTGTTGCCAACAGCAGTGATTTGAACAACAACAATGTTGATATCACTCAGAAGTATAACAATAGCATCAGTGATGATATCAACAAAAGCGTAGACATCAGTGCACATGTTCAATCGGTTTGCGTTCGTAACTTAAAAATCAGGCGCGCTAACACTGAGGAAAATTTGTTGTTTGTTGTTCGTAAACAGCAACAACAGAAGCGACAACAGAAACTGCAACATCATTCTCAACAACAGCGACAGAAACTGCAACATCATTCTCAACAACAACAACAACAGAAACTGCAACATCATCCTGAACAGCCTCTAGACCAGCAACAGCAGCAACAACTGCAGCCAATTCTCAAACACCAAAACATATCGGAACGATTTAACTCGAGAAACATTTTCGGCCAGCGACAACAACACCCAACGTTCATTACTAACTTCCCACAACAACTTTCTAAAAAGTTGCCAACCGCCTTCTCTCAACGACAGAATCAACTACACCACATTCAACAACTACTACCACCACAACAACAACTTTCACAATTGTTTTCAAATTTTCACCAGCATCAATCCATGCATCAGCAACAACATCTCCACTACCAGCAGCAGAAGCAGCCGGCAGACAAGCAGAGAGAGTCGCACACGAACCACCTTCTAAAACGACACAAACCAAACAGGAAACCTCGAACTTCGTACTCAGTCAAGCAACTCCTTCTTCTGGAGAACAAATACAAACGAAGGCAGTACCTCAACGCCAACGAAAGACTCGAGTTTGCCATCTCACTGGGACTCGATGAAAATCAAGTCAAAATCTGGTTCCAGAATAGGCGCGCCAAGTCGAAGAGACTGCAGGAAGAGGAGATAATGGAGAATTGGGCGACTTCCGATGTGTCTCCGTCGTCATTCGTTACGTCATTTACGGCGGACAATGCTGTTACGTCATCGTTATCTTCGCCCCCGATAACGAGAGCAGTCGGAAGAGACAATTGCTCGTCACCAAAGTCGTCAGCGTCACCATCGTCGTCAACATCGTCGCCAGTGAGTCCTTCCAATGAAACGTCTGCCAATTCCAACCATTTACCTAATGAACATCATCACCTCTCCACTCATATTCATCATCACCAAGAACAACATCAAAGAGTTAAAGAGCATTTTCAGCCATTTGAATCACGTAATGATTCATCTGACTCATCTCAGCATCATCAACCTCCAAACAACTCTTCATCTCCACCACCACCTCTTCCTTTTCTCCTTCCTTCATCTTTCCATCCGCATCATCCTCATCAACATCAGCCATCGTTTTTTCTTCATCCTATCCACCATCAGCACAATCAACATCATCACCAGCATCATCATCATCATCAGTTTGCGGCTAACATTGGCCCACTACCACGCCTTTTGATACCTCATGCTTTGACTTGGAGTTCATTTCAACAGATGAAATTTGTAAAGTGATGATGAAGATAAAGATGAGGATGAAGATGAGGATAAAGATGATGAAGATGGCAACGAAGATGAAGATGGTGATGAAGATGATGACGATGAAGAGGATGATGAAAATAGTAATGATGATGGTGATGAAGATAATGAAGATAAAGATGGTGATGAGCATGAAGATGGTGATCATGATTACGATGAAGATGATGATGACGATAGAGAAAATGAAAAGGATATATTTACGATGATAATTATGATTGTGTCGGTGATACTACCACTATTATTATTATTTATAATTAGTATTATTATTATTATAATTATTATTGTTATATCACAATTTATGCGGATAAGTTGTCACTTATAATAAAAAAAATTTTTTTTATAAGAAATTTTTAAACTGAAAATCTCTGAAAGTTTGAGTACCATGTTTTGCTATTAGCCACAAAAATACATTTGCGTGAGCATGTGTGTGTGTGTGTGTGATGTGGTGTGTGTGTGTTTGTGTGTTTGTGTGTGTGTGAGTGAGCATGTGTGCATAAAACTGAGTATAAATTGATTGATTTGTCAATCACAATTTATTATACTAAATACTAAGTACTATCTAAGTACTTGTCATGTTTTTGTTATTGTTTTTTCGAAGTTTTTTTTAATTAAATTGTAGATAAAAATCGCGAGTACGTATTGTTAAACTTTTGGAAAAAATACACATACCATTGCGCGATGCCCCGATCGTCTTTTAATTTTGTTCCAAAGTAAAACCATGAAAATAAAACATGAAAAAATTACATTAAAATTAAATGATTTCAAATAAACAAAAACCTGAATGTATACGCGCGCGCGCACACACACACACACACACACACACACATATATATATATATATATATTGCAAAAAATTTTATTGAAATCAAAGGTAATCGAGAAGTTATAATGAAAACTTGTGCTGATTACCTTAACTGAGGTGCAAGATGTTCAATAATTGTTAAATTAAGCAATAAAAAAAATATGAAAATTAAATAAAATATATATATATATATATATATATATATATAATTAATTAATTTTTTCAAATCAGTATAAAGTTTCGAAGTCAGCCAGCCAGCAGCAACTAAACAAGCTACACAGCAACAACAACGGCGGTAGAAAAATCCATACCTCGAAAACATCGGAAGCGTGAACATCGCAAACACACAGAGAGGAAATCCAGAAAGAAATGAAAATAAAAATATATGGAATTGTATATAATAATTATTTAAATTATTTTCACGCCAAGTTAACTGACGTTAAGCTGCAGCAATTTAGGTACGAGTTTGTTCTACGTAATTGTCGCTCGGCTACGCTACTGTGCTAAATTCATTTTAATTGATCGTGCATACATTATACATATTTGCACGCACACGCTAAATAAAACACACAGACACACACATTCACACGCACACAAACACACATAGAAATAAATATACACCTACAAATCATAACCATCTTCATTGGTATCAGCATCAATATCATTCAATTTATTTTACACCACCTTCACTCTTATCATCCATATGAATTTGTGTGTGTGTGTGTGTGTGTGTGTGCCTCCTCCCAATTAATCAAATTCAACACCAAGGTGAATTTCATTTTTACATCGAGAACATCATTACCAATATCAGCCTCATTATCATCTAAATATTCATCATCATCGTCGTCGTCATCGTCATCACCTTCATCATCATCATCATCATCGTTGTTGTGATCACAGTCATCATAATCATCATCGTCATAGTCATCGTAATCATCGTCCTCGTCATCTCTTTCATCATCTTTGTCATCATCATTAAAAATTATTATCATTTAGTTTGCTTATCATCTTCATCATCTCCATTGTACTTCCATTTATTAGTGAAGTAAGAAAAACTAAAGTAGCGATCCTAGTATTAATTGTAGTAACATTAACACTGATACTACTAAACCAGTACTGTGAAAGTATTCAGAGGGAGTTAAGCGGTGACGAAAAAATTTCAATATAATTAATATTCTTCTCACTTTTTAAACAGAAAATTAATTATGCTAATCACGAGCACCGATTGCACGTTCGTGTGTGTGCGTTCGTTTGTGCATGCTTGTGTGTGTGCATGCGTGCGTGTGTATGTGCGTGTTTGTGTATGTGTGTATACTATATGGGTATGTATCTGTGTGCATCTTTGTGAGTATGTTTGTGTATGCTTCAGTTCTTAAGAAAATTTTTTGTCTAAGTATTTAAGTTACATAGTGAGGAACATAAGAGGAACAAAATAAATTTGTTTTTGGAAGTTTCAATTTTGATACAATACAATACTTTGTATCAAACAAAATTAATTATCCTTTAACTTATTTCTAGGCGAATACACAGGCTTACAATTTTAGCTGAGTTTTTCTGACGAAACGATACAATACCCTTCATGTTTTTAGTTTTTTTTTAAAAAATCATGCAAATAAAAACACGCTATTACACATACAATTACTTACAGCATAGGAGTCTACACAGGCACACATGCATATATTATTGTACTCGCACACAGCAACACACGCAACCCACACGAACACACGTTCATCTCACACAAACATACACACACAGACACACACAAACACACACAGACACATACAAACATCCTCAAAAATCTCTACATAGACACGCGCGCACCGCAATTTTATGCAATATACACGTACACATACACATACGCACACGTTTATCACACACACGCACGCATACGCACGCACACACACACGCTTATCACACACACGCACGCACACATATATGCACACGCACACGCAACACTCGTACGCATTAGAGTGAAAAAGAAATTGATGTAACGAATTGAATCGGTTGTTGTATTGTGTTTAATGGGGTCAGGTGAGGTGCCGTTAATTAGGCATAACTCTTCCTGTGCGCTGACATCATTCATGTTTGCTGTGTTGTTGCTGTTGTTGCTGATGATGTTGTGTTGTTGTTGATGATGTTGTTGTTAGTGTTGTTATTGTTGTTGAAGTTGTTGTTGCTGTTGTTAGTGTTGTTGTTGTTAGTGTTGTTGTTGATGTTGTTGTTAGTGTTGTTATAGTTTTGTTATAGTGTTGTTGTTGTATTTTTTTTTAATTCCATTTATTCACAAAAAAGTGAGTCAGCCTAGCAATAAATGCTTATCTAGGGTTGACTCCCATAAACAAGAAATAACATAGTAAGTAATCAAAAAAAAATCAAAAAAAAACACAATAACATAAATGAGTAAAATAAATGTCTTTTAAATTTTTCAATGTTCTTAAATTTTCTTGAATAAACTTAGAAATAAAACATCGATACATTTAAACTTAAAAAATGAATAAAATTAAGAATAAAATATTAATAAATTTAACTTAAACAATTCAAAAATGTTCTCAACTTTTTTTTAAATTCTGTTAGATTACTTGTTACTTATTAATATCATTGTTATTCATTTCATTTTAAATACTTTTTTGGTTATTTATTTTAATTTATATTATTGACGTTAAAACGCCGGAGTAGATTGATTTCATTCAAATGAACTTCAGAAGCCTTTTCGAGAAGATTTTTATTTTGTTTACAAATTTGTATTCCTATGTATAGTATATATATATATGTGTGTGTGTTTGTGTGAGTTTTTTGTTGCGTGTGTGTTTGTATGTATATGTGTGTGTTTGTATGTATGTGTGTGTGTTTGTATGAGTTTGTTTGTTTGTTTGTGTGTGTTATATGTGTGTGAATGTTTTTTAATCTTTTTAAATATTACATTGTAATGTTTGGTTATACTGTTGTTACCATAGCCTATTATTATTGAGTGCAACATTATACTGTTGCTTTGTGTACGTTTTTTAATGTAGTAATATTTTGTGTTATCATCAAATTACTCTTTGTTACATTGTGCGGTAACTTATACGGTGATTTGCATACGCACACGTGCTAAAAGTGTATACAATGTGTGCGTGTAATAGTTTTTAATAATTTAATAAGTGCTTTGTGTGTTTGTTTGTGTGTGTTGTGTGCATGTAGTGTGTGTGTGTGTGTGTCAATGTTTGTGTAGTGTCTGTATGTGTGTAGTGTATATGTGTGTAGTGTGTGTGTGTGTGTGTATGTGTGTGTGTGTGTGTGTGTGTGTGTGTATGAGTGTTGTTTTGGTAACATTGAGTTCATCCTTTTCATTCATTCAGTCATTAATTGTTAGTTAAATATCACGTTACGATAGTTTTGGCGTTAAATTCATCTCACGTGCTAAATAATTGCATACTGATACTACTACTACCACTACTACTACCACTACTACTACTACTACTACTACTACTACTACTACTACTACTACTACTACTACTATTAATAATAATAATAGTACTGCTGCTACTACCGCTGCTACTACTACTACAACTACTATTAATAATAATAATAGCACTGCTGCTACTACCGCTGCTACTACTACTACAACTACTACAATTACTTTCGCCGCTGCTTGCTACTAATGTTTTTCTTAAGATGCTAATTTTGTCTTTGTATTAATATTTCTATTTTGATTAGTATTTTTTTCTTTAGGTTTGTCTTCTAGTTTTTTAATATAATTTTAAAGAGTTCATTTTACTTCTTTTACCCGTAATTTCATTTTTATCACAAATTAATTTCGTTTATTTTGAAGAATTCGCTTACATCGTTTGATGTGAGAGATGAAAGACCACATTTATTAGCCGACCCGGTTGGACACCTTTGTTGTCATCATCATCATCATCATCATCGTCATCGTCAAAACCATCATCATCGAAGTTATTATCAACTTTATCACCATCATCATCATAGCCGTTATTATTGTTTTTACCTTTCTTAGTTGCTATCATCATTTCAATATATTATATCACCTCCATCAATATAAATCCATTAGTATTATCATTATAATCTGCATCGCATTATCATTATAACTTCCATCGCTCTTTTATTCATAGTCAGAAATCGCATTCACCATCAAGTTATCATCATAATCATTATCACTGCTACACCATCATCATTATTATCACTACTACACCATCATCATTATCATCATAAACTTTTTGTAATTATTTTCATCGCATGATCGTCATCTTCATCAGATAATCATGAACATTATTAGAAAGATTTGCATTTAAAATCGTGTTACTGAATTAATTGAAACCGTATAGAAAACACGGAGTCTGAATATTTTTGTATTACAATTACACTAATGTTGTTGTTATTGACATATTTCATATGACGTCATTAAAGACGTTATCACTTTCGTCATCATCTTCACCATCAGCAACATCATCGTCGTCGTAATCATCATCGCTATAATGGGTAATCATCATTAACAATAGTTTCAATCACTCTAAATATCATTATGAGTGACGCCATTCATAAAGGTCATCATCGTTATTATCATTATTGTCATCACCATCGTCATCATCTTCATCGCTACCACCATCTTCATCGCTACCACCATCATCATTATAATTCCCATCATCTCCATTGTTATTGTTGTTGTTGATGTTGTTATTGTTGTTGTTGATGTTGTTTTTGATGTTTATTGATAAAAATCATATTATTCGAATTTATTAATGCAAATTACGTTTCAGCCATTTTAAAATGGTAAAGTGATACAAGAAAAAAGGGTAAAATACTGTTTTCAGTCACTTTTAACTTAATAATAATCATAATAACATATAAAAAAGAAAAATAATAATTTAACTTAAACTTTTAACTTAATAATAATCATAATAACATATAAAAAAGAAAAATAATAATAATAATAATAATAATAATAATATAATAATAATAATAATAATAATAATAATGGTCAGACTTATTTAAAGACAAAGTTGAAGTAATAAGCTCTGGAGTTAAAAATATTGAAAACTAAGTTAACGTCATGTAAAATCTTTGATGTATTTTAATATAATAATAATAATAATGATAATTATTATTATTATTATAATAATAACGATAATAATAAATTTGAACAGTTCACGATAACATTAGCAATGATGACGACGACGACGACGACGATGATGATGGTAAAGTTAGTGACGATTGAAATAACGTTAAATATCGAAATGATGTTATTATGAGGTAATTAAAATGATTATTGTAAAGTTGATGTGGTCAACTGTGTTGATGTGATGTGATGATGAAGATGATAGTGATAGTGGTGATGATGACGTGGTTATTTCGGCTGGTGACGTCACTATTTGAGAACCTTCGTGTGAATGTATTTTAATTGTTGGTCTGATGATGAAGCTAGTGGAGATAGTATTAAAGATAATGACGATGATGTTGATGAAGAGGAGGAAAATGATGATGATGATGTTGATGATAGTAGAAATGAAGAAGAAGAAGAAGAGTAAGGTGATACATCAAGAAATGAAGTTGAAAAGATAGGTAACGATGATGATTTCATCATATTATTTACCGGTAGAGATGACGAAGATGCTAACGATGAAAATGACGATGGCAATGATAAGGATGACCTCCATGCATACGTACTGAAAGAAGACGAAGATGATGAAGATGGTGAAGATGATGATTTCTGCAACATTAAATTATGTTGAAATGTGTTGAACGCTTGCGTTGCAATGTTGCCGAAAACGGTCGGAAAGATGTTGTGAAAGATGTTGTAACTGCTGGTATTAAAGCTATTGTTGAAAGATAAATTATTTGGGTTGCTGCTGTGGTTGTTGTAGTTGCTGCTGCTACTGCAGCTACCATTGATGTAGACGTTTATTTTGGAGTTGTTTTCAGTGTTGTTGTTGTTGTTAGTAAGTTGTTGATCTCGAAATTGTTGCAAATAAAGTAGATGATGATCGGCTGGGTAAAATTTCTGTGTGCACATAGAACCTGCACTACTACTGAGTGTAGTGCAGACACTAAAGTTACTGCTGCTGCTACTGTCGCCATTATAAAAGCTTGCATTTCGTTTATTTTTTGTTCGTCTGTTCTGAAACCAGACTTTAACCTTCATTTGTAAGTTTTGTAGTTGTGTGGTTTTAATAAGCTTTTAGTTGTGGAAATATAAACGAGTAGGTAACTTTTAAAAACTGAAAAAATGTTTAGCAGGTTGAGCGCCAAGGTCGTAAGAGGTAACAATTCATTTTAATCAGCTGCAACTAACAATGCACAACAACATACAACACAACACATCACAACACAACCCAACACCAGACAACACCACACAACACCACACAACACAACCCAACACCACACAACACCACACAACACAACCCAACACCACACAACACAACCCAACACCAGACAACACCACACAACCCAACACCACACAACACAACAGAATGACAAATACCTGTGTCTCAGTCAACCCCAACTTTCCCGCCAATTCCTCTCTTCCAACTTTTTCCAGGTAAGGCCCATTTTTGAAGGCCCTCTCCAATTGTTGCAGTTGAAATTTGTTAAAGACGGTTCGGTCCCGTTTCGGTCGGTCCACATCCAAATCGCGTGGCACTATCAACTGTCTGGTGCTTCCATTATTGTCTGTTGGTGATGTTTGTAGTGGACTAAACCCACATACAGTTACACACTCACGCGCACACACACATATATACGCAAATACATACACATACATACATACACACATACCTGTTTGTAGGTATGTATTTTGTTTTTGTTTTTTTCTGCATCAGCAGGTATTATTTTATTATCATTTACATCTGGGATGGGGAAACTACTATTTTATGCGACCCGCGAGGCCTTGTTTACCAAAAAATAGGTCGTCAGCCAGACATTATGACCAAAAAAGGGAGCCACAAATCTTAAAAATATTCACCCCCTCCCCCGGAATTCAAAATAGTATTGCTATTTAAGTACATATGCGGCCCTTCAAAGATAAAATAGTCTTCAATGCGTCTCTCACAGCAAAAAGTTTGCCCCCCCCCTGGTTTACATCCATTTTTATTCAGTCATTTTTCCAAACACAAAAAAAATTTTTATCAACATTATTTAATTTAATAATAAAAATAAGGAATAATAAAAATAAAATAATACAAATGATGACGTCATTGTCATTTTTATCATCACAAACACCACCTGTTCATTAAATTATTATCACAAACATCATCATCTCTCTCGCCGCATAACTTCATCGTCTGAAATGCTAGTTAAATTATTTCCAACCGATATAAGTAATGGATTTGCAATAATTCGGAAGACTGTAGTTCCCATGGTGGCAAACTTTTTCCTCGTTAACTTCATCATCGTTAGTGTTGTCATCATCATGGTCATTATTATCATCATTATTGTTATTATTATTGTTATTATTATTTCCAGAATTACCGTTATAAGCAGCATCATTGATTCCACAATCGTCAGTGCTATTATTCATATTTCCACCAGTGCCAACCGCTTCAAAATTTCTAAACATTTTTATAGGTGACTTAAAATCAGAGCTGTATTTGATATTGGGAAATAATTATTCTAATTATTTATTTTTATTGAGACAGAAAAATTTTTTTAACAATATGTTTAATTATTAAAGTTTACTGATCTAAAATTACTGCTATGTCATCAGCATAATTGAAATCTTTTTGCTTTATAGCAGCTTTACAGATATTAATAATTTAAATACTGAATCAGTCAGTACCAAATGAATTATTTACAACTAAGTTTAGGTAACATATGACCATTGTTTGTAGTCAGATCAGGTAAGTCATCGAGTCGCAATGACTGTCTTGTCATCATTCTTATCACCTCATCTGCATAACTTCATTGTTCACACTTATCTTAAGATATATACATTGAAACGTCTCAGCCAATCAGAGACCATTTTTGAGATGGACAGCTGTTAAGCGAAAGTTCTATTGGTGCGCGTGAATGTGTGTGCGTGTGTGTGTGTGTGGTGTGTGTGTGGTGTGTGTGTAATGTTTTTATGTGCGTGCGTGTGTGGTGTGTGTAATGTTTTTATGCGCGTGTAGATGTGTATGGTAAGTAACCTTTTTTTTGTGAGTCCACTTTTTATTTTAATGAATTATTCTATTTAACTAGACGACGCAAGTTTTTTTGAGCTGTACGAAAATAATGTATGCGTGAGTTTGAATGTTTGCTTGTACGTGTGTGTACGTGTGTATGAGCACATGTGATTAAAAATAAAAAGAGGAGAAAATCATGGAAAGATCACGTGTTGCTAATTGGTTGAATTGATTGGTCGAGTGAGGTGTCAGACTAGATGGACGTTCGAATTTGCTGCAATTATCAGAGTGCACTCCTCTTTCTTTCTATCATGTCTGCTGTCCTGCATCTCATTTCTTAATGTTTTGCTTGTTTTCTTGAATGACTGCTTGTTTGTGTGTTTGCTTGTTTGCTTGTCTGTCTGCTCGTTTGTTTGTTTGTTTGCTTGTTTGTTTGTCAGTTCAATTTTTTGTTTGTTTGTCCGTTCGATTGCTTGCTTGTTTTTTTCCTTGTTTGTTTGTTCGTTCGTTCGTTCGTTCGTTAGTTCCTTCTCCTAATTGTTCGTTTGCTTGCTTGTCGTAGTAGTGACTAGAGCCCCAAGCGGATAACTGCGATACGGTTTCAAACCGCGGATAAAAAATTCTCAAAACTCTGCGGACTTAGCGGTTTGCAGCGGATGCGGATTCAAGTGCTTTTTTAAACAACCGCCCGCAAAACTAAATTTTTAATTTTTAAAATTTTTAAAATAAAAAAATTTAGTTTTTTCGTTTGTTTGCATATATGTATGTGCGTGAGTATGTGTGTGTATTTAATGATCATAGTTGAGTCTCTCTGGGGTACATGTTGATAAAGCCAAGCAAAAAGTTTCTACAAATTACTTCAGTGGATTTGAAAAAAGAATGTTTGTTCAATGTATACACGTCCATACACAAACACACACACACATGCATATGTAAATGTGTGTACATATGTGTGTTATACAAAACGTACGAGTGAAGTGTATCTATCTTTGATACTTAACACAAGTGTTATCATCACCATACACACACACACACACACACACACACACACACACACACACACACACATACACAGCATCTTCATAGATATTAAATAAATAAATAGCCTTTTTGAGTTTCTCATCGTCGTTCGTTTTGTGATAGCATCAGATGCAACGATGGAAATAACTGCTGACATGACGTGTCGCGACGATGATGATTTTCAACAAATGGAGACAATGGAAGTGATAATCAAGCTAATGTTGATAATAGCATCAATTGTGATGGTGGTGGAGATGATAACAGCTGAAATGTTTTTTTGAAGGACAAATAATTTGATAATAAAAAACAAAGATAACAAAAATTATAACAAAAATAATGATGACAGATACAAATTTAATTAAAAAAAAGGGTTTTTTGATCGGATAATTAAAAGCGATTTCAGTAAAATGGCGATTGTATTAGAGATAAAGATATAAGTGACGGATGGCATTCAGTTAACGACAAAATAAAAGAAAAATTACATGAATTTTTTTCATTTTTAGTTTAAGTCAGCCAACAAACTTAATAAAAGAATAAAATAAAACAAAAATAAGTTAAATTAGAAAATAGGTGGCAAATGTAGATGCTGTGACAGGGCAAAAATAATGTAAAAACTGGCCATAACTATTATGATGGTGACATGATATGAGAATGTGATAACGACGATTCTGGCATGAAGATGAGTAAAAGTGATAAAGAAATCGATGAAATAATAGCATTACTATTATTACTACTGCTACTACTACTGTTGCTTCTGCTGCTACTACTACAACTATCAAATTAAGATTACAAGATCATCATTAATTCGATGATGATGGTGATGGCGATGATAGTAAAGACGATGATGATGACAATGACGACGATGATGACATTATTAACGACCATTAAATTTGACAAGCGTGGGCAAGCTGATGACATATGATGATTGTAACCACTTCAGTTAAACTAGCACATGCACGATGATGGGTCTGTTAGCTCTTCAATTTGGGGTCAAAGTTGGGGTCAATTTATTGGTGAAATGCAATTTATTGGTTCCAACTGAGCGCTTTGTATGTAGGGGAGTGTGTATATATATGTGTGTGTGTGTGTTTGTTTAAAGTTTGTGTGTTTTTATGTACTTTTTTCGTATACTTGTGTGTGCTTGTATGACTTATCTGTTGTATAAAAATAGTGTGTTCGGTACGGATTAATGCTGCTGAGGTGTGGTTTTTGAAGAGCATCATGAAAATTAGTTAATTTTCATTTAACTAAGTTTATAAATAGAAAATTGAAAATTAGAACCTCTCACACCTTCAATGAGGATGTATTAAAACAGTCCGGTTATGAAAAGAGGAAATTACTATAAATAATCCGACGGGGGCAGTTAAAGTTTTTTGGTCACATCACGCAGAAGGAAAGAATGGAAAATCTAACAACTACTGGAAAGATTGCAGGGAGAAGAGATCGCGGTCAACAACGAATAACATTCGTAAAGTCCTTGTGTCACTTGTTGAATTTCACCACATTTTAACTACTGCAAAATGTTTAAATTTTGTGCTGGTCGATGGTCGCCAATGTCCTGAAAGGATAGAGCACGAGAAAGAAGAAGAAGAAAATAAATCATCCAAGAATAGCTTGACATTTCTAATTGCGTATAGTAAACCCTTAAATGATTGGCATTTGCAAAACTTCCTTCAGCTAGATCCCCATAAAACTAAAATATTGTTTTTTGTTACTCCTCAATAGATGATTAAGGTGTCTGTTTAGCTGTTGCAGTGATATGCTTGCACTTTTAAAAGAACGGAAAGAATTATATATTTTAAGCACCTAGCGACTAATGTTCAACATTTTTCAATTGAATTTTTTTTCAGTGTAGTTTTAACAGTTTTAAAGTAAATAAATTATTCGATAAATTAAAAGAAAAAGACAGACAAAAAACATTATAAACAAAATAAATTGATGCTTCAGCCTACCCATATTAAGTGTAAAGGCAGAATTGTGCCAAAAGTTTTTCCAACTGTGAAAATTGATCGGATAATTTATTGTTAGATCAAAACATTCACATATGCACATACATGATGATATTTTTTGATTGATGGCAATTTAAATTATTATTAAAGACATAGAACAAGCCAGATTATATAAAACCAAACCAAATACAAAAACTGCAACACAGTGCATATGATCCATCCATAGCTTACTTGCATTTAAACCAAGCCAGTGATGCACACAAAAACTTAGTTCATCTTTTTCCCATCTGGACCAATACAACATTTCAAAAATTAGCAAACTCTGTCAGGTTAAGTTAATAAATCATTTTGCCCATTCCATCTATCGATCGGTTGATTAATTCAATTGGTGATGTGGGTTGTTTCACTCAGTGAAACAAAACACAAATTTATTTTTGTTTGCCTTTGTAATTATCTTCATGTCTTTATTTAAATTTATATCATTCAGTAGCAAACAACCTTAATGGTATTAGCAGTAGCAGAAGCGCTACTCCTGGCAGCGGCAGTAG